GGCTGCAATCCCCATGGTCAGCAGTTCGAAACCACCAGCTGCTGAGCTGGCGAAAGACTGGGCTTTCTACTCCCGTCATCAGTGACAGTCTCGGAAACCCACAGGGGTCACGCTGAGCCTGCATGGGCTGGGTGGCAGTGGGTTTCCTTTTGGTTGGCCTGACAGTAGGGGGCTTGATTTTTGCTAGGATACCGAATAGATTTCAGCAGAACTTCTGGTCTGGGGTTTCCCAAACTGGGCCACCCCCACCCCCACCCCCTGCCGGAAGGATCCAGGAGGCAGGCAGATATGGACACTTTATCCTGAACGAACATTTGTAATTGCCAGGGGCAGGGGTGGGGTGGGGAAACAGTAGGCCAAATATGAGAGACTAGGAAGAGAGGCCTGAGAGTCACCTGAAATGTCAGCCGTTGAGAACCTCACAGGGCACGATTCAGCTCCGAGAGTCCAATCGCCATGCGAGCAGCTTGCTGACTGCCGCCAGCCTCTGCCATCAGGGAGTGTGTGCTTCCGGCCTGCAGGCCTTTGCTGAGCTGCTCCATCCTCCCCAAATAACCATTCAGACACCTCCAGGAAAACGTTCTTGGCTTCTCCAAACCCCTCCCCTCCCGTTCTCTCTCACCTCCACCCCACCAACCCCACTTAATCCTGTGTGTGTGTGTGTGTGTGTGTGTGTGTGTGTGTGTGTGTGTGTGTGTGTGTTCTCCTATTCCAATTGCAGGGTCTGAACACTCTTCTGTCACCTCACCGACTTCCAAGACATGCCATGCCTGCTCTGCTCCGGGACAATGCACGGAGATCACCTGTCCTTCCACCCAGGACTCCTGCCTGCTCAGCCAGATGGATTGGGGTGGGGGCCGAGCAGCTGGAGGGAGAGGGCTGGGGGCTGGAGGGAGGGAGACTGGTGGATGGGCTTCCCGGGGTAGGGGGGGTGGCGGTTGCAAATGACACCTCTGCAGCTTAGCTTGTGGCCACTGTTGCCGGGTGGGGGGTGGGGGGCGGGGAGAGGGAGAAGGGGCAGAAGACCGATTCATCTCAGGGACTGCTGCAGGGGATCAAGGGACAGGGAGGGTTGGGGTGTGGGTGGGTGTGTCTTTAATCAATCCCCACCAAAACCTCGAACCCCAGGAAACAGGACTGTCTTCACAAGTGGGTCCTGCGTGGCCCCGGAGCAATGCCACGAAGGTGTCTTCAGTGTGACCGACGGCCCGGACTCCGGCTTCTGGATCCGCACGGCGTGTTGCGAGAAGAACTGCCGCCGGACTTTCCCCAGAGGTTTGTGGGCGGGGCCTCGTGACGGCGTCCCGCGGGGGGGCTGTGTCTGTTTGTTCCGTGTTGAATATTCATTGCGTGCGGTCCCGAGCCCTGTCTGCAACAGAAAGAAACCCTGCCTGGTGTCCCGCGCTGCAGCCACTGTGCCCATCCATCCCGTCCAGGGTCTTCCCCACTTTTCGCCACCCCTCCACTTTCCCAAGCACGGTGGCCCAGATCTCCCGGGATTGGTGCCTCCTGGTACCACGCCCAAAGGCTGTGATAGGCATCCAGGCCTCTAAAGGAGCACCCTGGCCGTACTTCGTCCAAGACAGATTCCTTTGTCTTTTCAATCCTCTTCTCCTGCACCTCAATTCAAATGCATCGATGCACTTCCCATCTTCCCTCAAATGCATCCATGCTCTTCCCATCTTCCCTCAAATGCATCGATGCACTTCC